CAGTGCTCCTGGCGGAAAGACTTTTGCGCGGAGGCAGTTGGCGAGTGTCTGGCGCGAGGGGTGTCCCATCCGCTGGTGCCAGAGATCGTCCTCGGCGCGAATGCCGGAGGTGCGCTTGTAGCGGGTGTGGTACTCTGCTGCCTCCTCCGCCGTGAGTTCCGGGATCTGGAGTGGAGGTTCTTCCTCTTCTCCTGGTTCTGCTTCGTTGTTCTCCTCCTCTGCTTCTGCTTCTGCCGTTGCCTCCCCTTCTGCAGGTGCCGTTGTGAGGTAAAGCGCCAGAAATTCACGGTCGGGGATGATCGTGAGCGGGGTCGTGGTGCCTTCGATGAAGCGCGCAAACGGATCTGGGCGGGAGATTGGACCGAGTGAGTCCCGCGGAGGCGTTGGCGGTACATTCCCCTCCTCAATCTCCGACCAGGGATCGCTCCAGCGATGAGGTGAGCGCGGAGGTTCGCGAGTGCGCGAGGGTCGTCCGAGAGGAATGACGACGCGGGGTGGTGCTCCGCCTCGCTCGGCTTGCATTTCGCGTTCGGCTTCCTCCAATTCTTCTTGCGTGAGTTCCCCTTCGTCGGGCTCGACTGTTCCCCATCCTCCCGTGGTGACCGTGCCGCTGGCGCTGGCTCCCCATGCTCCCGTTGCGGATGCCCAGGTTCCGGCGGGAACAGGTTCGTAATCCTTATCACCCCATGCTCCACGACGTGCGGACTCTTCGTCCCATCCTGCCGCGACGCGTTCCTCGTACAATTTCTGTTTCTTCTCCGCCCGTGCCTTATCTTGTTCTTCCTTGACGCTCAGCTCCTCTGGTGCGTCAGGATCCTTCCAAGCTGGATCAATCTCGCGGCGGTAGACTTCGCGAGTGTATGGGCGCGGCCGTTCTTCTTCGTCGAGGGTGCGCGCGTTGGCTTCGAGGACGAACTTTAGGGTGTCCGAGTAAGGTCGTGGTCGCTCCGCTCGTTCCTGTCCGAACACCTTGCTTGGCTCGCCGAAGATGCGGTGAGATGACACGGCAAGCTCTTCGGGAGTCATGCCTGTGGGTTCTGTCTCCGCGCTTTCTGCTTCCTGAATGGCCGCATATTCTCGCTCAACCTGCTCCGTGCGGCTTGCTGTGGGTGTATGGCAGGTGGTGCACAGGCCGTTGATGTCAGGATCGTGCAGATTGATCTCGCGGGGGTGAGGACTGCGGCGAACCCACGGGCGTCCGTCCGGGTGCTCCCATGATTCCTTGTTCATGAAGGCGAACTCGAGTGGGACAAGATCCACGAGCTCGTCGGAAGAGGCTTGGCAGGAGGGTACGTCGAAGTCCAGGATGTAGATTCCGTTGATAGAACGTGCTCGCCCGAGATATTTAAATGACTCGGGGGGTGTGTCTGGAGGGGCGTATGTGAGGATGAGATCGCGTGTTTCTAAATCCGTGTGAATAATGACTCCGCAGTCACGGAGTTGTCCGGCCGAGAGCAGATTGAAGCGCAGATTCGGGACGTAGAGCACGTCGTTGAATGAAATGTGTGTGTTGCTGTCTCGTGCTTGCAGGACGACAATGCCTTGTGAGTTGGCGCGCAGCTGCTCGTTGTTGGCGACGGTGACGTAGGTTGCGGGGGCGCGGCTCAGGTTGGAGACATAGCGCGTTGATCCCACCATGTGCTGTCCGCAGCAGCTGTCCAGGTACCATGTGTTATGGTTGTCGGTGTTGTTTCGTCGTAGCAGTAGCGCCAATCGCGGAGTCACCAGGGTCGCCTTGTAGCGCCTGTGAAAGAATAGGTCTTCGTCCTCCTTCCAGCCCACTGGTACGTAGTGCTGATTGTCATGTGGCGGGCTTTCCCGCAGTGTGATTGGTAGATTCCAATCTTGCTTGTCTTCGTCATAATCGTAGTAGTGGTCCTCAGTGAGGGGATTGTTCCATCCCTCTTCCGGCTCCAGAAGTCTTCCTTGGACTTCGTTCTCTTCGTCAGGTTCAGCAGTGCGGCGACGGCGCGTCGCCATGTTCGCAATGATGTTCCTCGGAGCTCCTGACTGGGGTCCTTGATTTTGTTGGTGTTGATGTTGTGCAGGAGGACGAGCTTGCTGATGCTGAGGTTGAGAATGACGAGCGTCTTGTCGGCCGACCCAGTTGTTGTGGTGAGTGGAATTTGGGTGGCGGAAGTTGGATCGGGACTTGCATCGATCCGTTGAGTGTCCGAAGACTTTGCATATTTTGCAGTAATGGCGCCTTGGTTGTCGTCGCTCTTCTCGGTTGTCTGTGTAGAAGGTGAGGCGCTCACGGCGCGGCGCGGAGCTCGTTCTGCTTGAGTCCATGTCCTGTTGTTCGGACAGGAGTGCGGCGCATAGCGCGGCTTCTGAGATCGTTCCTCGCTGTCGGAGTAGCGCTTTGCAGGGCTTCCACTCTGGCCCGAGTCCTTGAAGGACTATGTTGACGAAAATCTCTTCCGAGATTGTACTCCCATGCTTCGTGATTTGGTCACGAATGTTGCGACAGCGGTTAATGTATGGATTCGCTTTCTCCCCGTGCCCCATTTTTATCTCCAGAAGTTGCTGCAGAAGCCTGCTGGCGGTGACCGAGTCCTTCGGCTGGTAGACTTCAACAAGATGCTTCCAAGCTTCCAGGGCTGGAGCGTCGCTCTCTTTGTAGGAGCGGATGTTGAGTTGTTCCGCAGGCGTCATGTTACGTAGCAGCACACTGTAGGCCATGAGGGACTCACTGTAGTATTGAGCCCTGGCGACTTCGGTGTTTTCCACCGGTTTAGGATAGGAGCCGTCGAAGTAGTGGTAGATCTGCGCCGTTTGTAGGAGGAGCTCAAGCTCAAAACTCCATGTGTAGAAGTCCTTGCCGTCAAACGCGGCAATGGTTTTGATTTTAGAAACGCTGAGAAAGCGTGCTTGCGCAGAGTTGATTGCTTCATCACTTGGACGGGGGGCAGTAGTTGCTGATTTGTCTGTGTCGAGGGAGAAGGTGTGCGCGGCGGTATCACGGCTTTTCTCAGCCGGTTGTCCAGGTTGTACTGGTTGGGAAGAGGTTCCCGCATCGCCTTTGCGCAGGTCTTGGAGTTCTTTCTCCATGGTTGAAAGTCGAGCGAAGAGTTCCTCGAGGGCGGCAGTGCCGATCGTGGTTGTCGCCTCATTTGTCGTAGCCGGATTGGATTGTCCTTCAGCCGTTAGATTTGTTTGGCCTCCGGATCCTCCGGCCATCTTGGTTTTGGAGCGTGTGCCGCTCGCCAGATCTTGGCTCGGCGAATTTCACGGAAGTGTGATTGCGAAGAATCCCTGAGTAGCTCTCATACCATGTTACAATCCCAAGAGGGACTTAGCGAAGGATCGCTCAGGGTTGATCGCAGGGCAGCGGAAGTTTGAATCTCAGGTCAGAGTGAATGTAATTGACTGAGTTGATGAAAGCATGCATACATCGAGTTTATATAAGAGTACAGGGGAATACGAAAAGACCTAGACTAGCCATGTACTCTAAGGGGTACATTCCCTTATTACATCGAATTCAAACCGTGCGGCGCGGGAACCCGTTTTGAACCTGTTCCCGCTCTTTTCACTTCGAATGTTTCTGCCTGCATCGGTCTTGGTCGGGCGGTTGCTGCGTCGCTTCGACTCTTCTGACTCCTCGACTTCGTACTCGGTAGAGTCGGCTCCTGCAGCATACAGGAATGCCTTCTCATAAAGTTTCATATCGTAACAAGAGCGCCTTGTGGTGCGTGATCCAGGCCGCGACTCACGCGACACGGAAGCTGTGGAGCCCACGTGAATTCCGAAAGAGTGAACGGTTAGGAGATTCATGTTGGCCGATACGAGCAGTGATATTGGTATGCTGACCAGGTGTAGCTCCATGTAAGCTTATTATTAGCTCCCAGCTAACAATGTGAGGTGCATGCAGGGATAGAGGTCGCACGACCTGTCAAGTCAACATTCTGGGTTTCGATATTAGCCCCACATTGGTAGCATCGCTTTCCTGTTTGAGATGTTGCTTAGTGAGTCCCTTTTCATGCATATGCATTGCAAAACACTTACACCATATTGTCTCAGCAATATTTGGTTTTCGTGACCAGGTTTTGTCCACCGAGATCTACGCTACGTTTCCGCCTCCCACGGATTCACCTGCAGCAACCTGCGCAGCCACCACCACAAGCCTCTGTCGGAACAGCCAATAAACACTCGACATTCAGCGCCACGGTATTTCACATGTTTTTTCCTCCAGCCGCAGTATTCTTACAAAACCTAGCGACGGTCAGCTGAATATGCTGTTCGGCAGGGCTGATTCTGCTAAATACGGCTGCACAGTGTATGAAAATAACCTTTATGCAAAAGTTTGTCTTCCGCTTCTTCCGCCCCATCCTGGCGTCTTGCTGAGCAGAACCGAGTCGCAGGCAACATCTCAACCTTAGTCAGTTGCCGAGGAGGACGTGTATGACGGGACGGGGAGGCCACGAGTGAGCAGCTTCCTTCCCTTTCCCATTCGCCACCCGCAATTCTCCTGTGCTTCCTTCGGAAGCCATACCAGGAGCTGTCTAATGACAGTGCTCATGACGAGCAGGCGTATGATCACGAACACGACATACTAAAGCACGGAATTACATTTCAAACCGCTGCGCGTCGAGAAGGTCCCATCCAAACGATCCAAGATTTCCAGGCGCCTCACGAAGTACCCCATCCAGTGGCTAAGATCTCTAGGCGTCTCGGAAATTGCGTCGTCCTGTGGTCGAAGACCATCAGACATTTGAGTCAACGACTATCCAAAAAGTCACCTCCGAGGCAGCAGTGTCAACTATCGACTCGATAGTAACAAACCGACGAGCAGCGTGCGCCGACGAGACTACAGTGAACAGATCAAGCCCCCCTTTCTGTGCGCACAGCTGCGGAGTATTCACGGCCTTTGTTACGCCCACGCGGAGGCTGCTCAACAGCGCTGCTTTTCACAATCGAACACCATGCTCACATTCCCACGCGCCGCCGCGCGCGGCGGAGGGAAACTCCTCCCTCCCAAGCGTCGCCGTCCATTGGCAATGCCTACCAACAATAGAGACTTTTTCGCGTCCCGGCAGGCGTGCTACGCGGTGATCGTGCTTCTCGCCGCGCTGCTCGCGAGCGGCAGTGTCGCAGTCGCAGGTTAGTCATGCGTCGTCCCTTCTTTCTACCGTCCTTGCCTTCCGTTTCTTCCCTTGTCCGATCGCGACTCGCGCATGCGAGGCAACAATCTCTCCGGCCCCTCCCTCCTTTCCCTTCCTCCCGCTCCTCCATCCACTCGATTCGACTTTGAGTCGTTCCAAAGTCCAAAAGTCGCCCTTCTCACCATGTTATTGCATGAAGCAGCAACCTCCAAGTCCCTCCCCCTCGCTCCCTCCCTTCCGAGGTGACTCTTTGTCGCCTCACAAGGCGAACTGGCGTAATACTCGCATCGCTACCAGAAGTTCTAGAATAACAACAACATACCGTCCATCTCTCCAGATCAGTGTAGGTTCTAAATCCCGTCCCTTTCTCCCCTGACCCTCTTCTTTCCCACTCCCCTCCGTTACTCTCCCTTCCCGCTCCCCCTTTCCTCGTCTGTCCCCCGTCTGTCCCGGGCCCTTTTGACCATGTCATCTGACCAGCCCCTCGAAAGGGAGCAGTCCCGAGCTATCCATGCAGCGCGAATCCCGCTCTGGCCTCGTGTTCTCCGAAGTATGCGAACCGGTTCTTCCGGTTGATCAGCAGCCTCTACGACGGGGCGACGGGGGAAGTCCTAAGTGACCTTTTCACGCTCGGTCGCAACTGGGCCGAGGATCCACGCCTAACGAACCCGCGCATCGAGCCGGTTCTCGCGCTGCGCACCGAAGGCAAATGCAGTGAGTGTGGCGCCGCGGGCTGGCTGTTTATTTTTCGAGAGGGGGAGGGAGGGGGGGAGGGAGGGGAGGGGAAGGGGGGAGGAAGAGGGGGAGGGGAAGTGGGGAGGGAGAGGGGCAGGGCCGACGGCAGGCAGGTAGAATTCTCGGGGGAAGAGGAGAGCAAAGCGCGGCTTATTTTCCGACCTACTAATGAGACTTATCTTTTTTTCAATCTGCAGGCTCAGGTGTTTCTCACCCTTATTCAGACGCGACCTTGCTTTTTCCACAGGAAACCATTTTTTTGCCCTTCTATTCATCTCCCCTCCCCTCCCCCCCCCTCCCCTCCTCTCCCCTCCCCTTCCCGTTTTCAACCCCCAGAGTCATCATGGGCCATCACAGCAGTGAGCGCGGTGGAAATGGCGTACGCGTTAGTGGCTGCCTCGACGCCCTCCATGGATCCCCCCAAGCGCATATCACTACAGCAGGTGCGGTGCTGCTACCCAAGCACGGGCTTTAACGAGGACAGTTACTTCGGCTGAATAATTATTCGTGCTTATAAGCGTGCAGCTTATACCGTGTACACGTAGCTTTGCACCTAGGAGCAGCAGCAGCAGCAGCAGCAGCAGGTTTTGATTGCAGGCTCACCAGCAGGTGCTCTGTTCTGTACCTCCCCCCACCAATAACCCAACCCCACAGGTGCTGGACTGCAGGAACAGAACCAGCAGCAGCTGTGCGGCGGGCGGGTGGCCGACCCACCCGCACCCCTTCCCCCTGCCGTCACCCACCCTTTCCACCCCCCAACCCCGTAGGTGCTACTGCAGGAACAGCAGCTGTTCTGCCAGCGGCCGCGCCACTCCCTTTCGCGTCACCCACCGTTCTCCTCTCCTTCTCTCAACCCCCAACCCAACCCCACAGGTGCTGGACTGCAGGAACGCAACGAGCAGCAGCTGTGCGGCGGGCGGGTGGCCGACCCACCCGCACCCCTGCCCCTACCGTCACCCACCCCTCCTGCCTCTCCCCACCCGCAACCCATCAGATTCTGGACTGCAGGAACGCAACGAGCAGCAGCTGTGCGGCGGGCGGGTGGCCGACAGCAGCGCTGGACTACATGGTGGACGCCACGCTCACGTGGGGGGGGCTTGCGAGCGAGTCTGGTTACGCGTACACGCAGAAGGACGGCAAATGCAACAGGGGAAAGGTACGGCTGGGGGAGGTATGCCTGGGGGAGGTATGCCTGGGGGAGGTATGCCTGGGGGAGGTATGCCTGGGGGAGGTATGCCTGGGGGAAAGGACGCTGACGTGGGGGGGCTTGCCGCCGAGGCTGGCTACGCATACGCGCAGAAGGACGGCAAATGCAACAGGGGAAAGGTATTTCTGGGGCAGGTACACCGGGGGCAGGTATAATGCTTCATGATGGCGCGCATCTTTGTCACGAGAGGCTCCTGTCCGTTCGATCCGCAACGTCTTGCAGCAGGGGAGAGATGAGCCGTTCATGTCCATGTGCCCGTGCCCGTGCCCATGCCCATACCCATATGCCCATGCCCATACCCATACCCATGTGCCCATGTGCCCATGTGCCCATGTGCCCATGCCCATGCCCGTGCGCATGCCCATGCGCATGCCCGTGCCCATGCCCATACCCATGTGCCCATGCCCATGCCCATACCCATGTGCCCATGCCCATGCCCATGCCCATGCCCATGCCCATGCCCATGCCCATGTCCATACCCATACCCATACCCATGCCCTTGTGCCCATGTGCCTATGCCCATACCCATGCCCATGTGCCCATGCCCATGCGACCATACCCATGCGCCCTTGCCCATGTGCCCGTGCCCTGTCTCTCCCCCCCCCTCAGGCGAAGCAGCAGGCGACGACCATAGGCGTGATTGGGTACGACCAGGTGGACTACTACAGCTGGCTCGGCCTTCTCCTTGCTGTCAACGTAAGCCTCGCTGTCAGCGTAAGCACATAAGCCGACTAGTTACCACGTTACGTCAGGGCACGTGCTGGTGAGCTGAGCAACGGGGACGACCAGGTGGACTATCACGGCTGGCTCGGTCTGATGCTTGCTGTCAACGTAAGGTAGGGTGCTGATGATGCGCTGCAGTGGGATAGATTATCACGGCAGTGCAGGCAGTGGTGCAGGCGGCAACGCAGGTGACAGCGCAGATGGCAGTGCAGGCGACAACTTTTGAGGCGCCTCAAAAGCAGTGCAGGCGACAACTTTTGAGGCGCCTCAAAAGCAGTGCAGGCGACAGTGCAGGCGACAGTGCAGACGGGAGTGCAGCGGCAGCGCAGGAAATATATATGCTGGATTTGTGCACACAGTTAATACTTCTTAGCACGAAGCTTCCTGTTTCCCCTTCTCCCACACTTTTCAAGCCGCCTGTTCCTCGTCTCCCCTTCTCTCCTCCCTTCTCCTCTCCTCAACTTCCCTCCCTCCCCCCTTCCCTCCCCTCCTACCCACTGCACCACCCCAATACCCCCCTGTGGCAGACTCAGCCCACCATTGCGTTCGTACGAGGCTCCTACCCCTCCTTCCAGACTTACACAGATGTAAGGGGAACAGTGTCTTGGTGTACTTTTCTGTAGCATTTAAGGCGCTTACCCCTCCTTCCAGACGCACACGTCATAGGTACGAGAAGCAGTCGTTAGGTGTGTGTTAATTCGACTCAAGGGCTCTTATCCCTCCTACTAACGAGGTGTCCAGGGCAGTGGTTTGGTTGGTTCTTTAGTTGACGCAAGAGCTTCATACATACACCCCTCTTCCAGGCCCCACAGGCAGGCAGGAGGGGAGTATTTCCAGATGAAGTGTTGAGCAGTCATAGCTTGTAGTAAACTGTGCTCATCCTTCCCCTTTTCCCTCCACCACCTCCTCCCTCCAGGGCATATACGGCGACCCAGGGTGTGCAGCGGCGGGGGTGGTGGATCACAGCGTAGTGGTGATGGGGTACAGCTTAACGTCATCGGAAGGCGCCTACTGGATCCTCCGCAACTCCTGGGGGGCCACGTGGGGCATGCAGGTGGGGGGTATGCGTGGCTTTGTTGTTTTTGCAGGTCGTTGTTTTTATCATGTAAATAAAAAAAAAAGACCTGCAAGACAAAAAAAATAAAAAAAAATGCCCACTCTCTTTTTGCGTTCTTGCTCTTTGGATGCAGGGATACATGAAGATGGCCTTCGAGGGAGGCGTTGGCATCTGTGGCATTCACTCAGTGCAGGCCCTCTACCCCATCATAAAGAGTGAGTAGACCCCCTCGCCTGTGTGCTTCTATGCAGTGCATGTGTGCACACGTGCACATGTGCATGCAGTGCATGCGTCTGTGAATGCCATGGCTGTAACATGTGATGGCTCCCATGTGCGGCAGTGATGGCTCCCATGTGGGGCAGTGATGGCTCCCATGTGCGGCAGTGATGGCTCCCATGTGGGGCAGTGATGGCTCCCATGTGCGGCAGTGATGGCTCCCATGTGGGGCAGTGATGGCTCCCATGTGGGGCAGTGATGGCTCCCATGTGCGGCAGTGATGGCTCCCATGTGGGGCAGTGATGGCTCCCATGTGCGGCAGTGATGGCTCCCATGTGGGGCAGTGATGGCTCCCATGTGCGGCAGTGATGGCTCCCATGTGGGGCAGTGATGGCTCCCATGTGCGGCAGTGATGGCTCCCATGTGGGGCAGTGATGGCTCCCATGTGGGGCAGTGATGGCTCCCATGTGCGGCAGTGATGGCTCCCATGTGGGGCAGTGATGGCTCCCATGTGGGGCAGTGATGGCTCCCATGTGGGGCAGTGATGGCTCCCATGTGCGGCAGTGATGGCTCCCATGTGCGGCAGTGATGGCTCCCATGTGGGGCAGTGATGGCTCCCATGTGCGGCAGTGATGGCTCCCATGTGGGGCAGTGATGGCTCCCATGTGCGGCAGTGATGGCTCCCATGTGGGGCAGTGATGGCTCCCATGTGCGGCAGTGATGGCTCCCATGTGGGGCAGTGATGGCTCCCATGTGGGGCAGTGATGGCTCCCATGTGCGGCAGTGATGGCTCCCATGTGGGGCAGTGATGGCTCCCATGTGCGGCAGTGATGGCTCCCATGTGGGGCAGTGATGGCTCCCATGTGCGGCAGTGATGGCTCCCATGTGGGGCAGTGATGGCTCCCATGTGCGGCAGTGATGGCTCCCATGTGGGGCAGTGATGGCTCCCATGTGGGGCAGTGATGGCTCCCATGTGCGGCAGTGATGGCTCCCATGTGGGGCAGTGATGGCTCCCATGTGGGGCAGTGATGGCTCCCATGTGGGGCAGTGATGGCTCCCATGTGGGGCAGTGATGGCTCCCATGTGGGGCAGTGATGGCTCCCATGTGGGGCAGTGATGGCTCCCATGTGGGGCAGTGATGGCTCCCATGTGGGGCAGTGATGGCTCCCATGTGCGGCAGTGATGGCTCCCATGTGCGGCAGTGATGGCTCCCATGTGGGGCAGTGATGGCTCCCATGTGCGGCAGTGATGGCTCCCATGTGGGGCAGTGATGGCTCCCATGTGGGGCAGTGATGGCTCCCATGTGCGGCAGTGATGGCTCCCATGTGCGGCAGTGATGGCTCCCATGTGCGGCAGTGATGGCTCCCATGTGCGGCAGTGATGGCTCCCATGTGGGGCAGTGATGGCTCCCATGTGGGGCAGTGATGGCTCCCATGTGCGGCAGTGATGGCTCCCATGTGCGGCAGTGATGGCTCCCATGTGCGGCAGTGATGGCTCCCATGTGCGGCAGTGATGGCTCCCATGTGGGGCAGTGATGGCTCCCATGTGCGGCAGTGATGGCTCCCATGTGGGGCAGTGATGGCTCCCATGTGCGGCAGTGATGGCTCCCATGTGGGGCAGTGATGGCTCCCATGTGCGGCAGTGATGGCTCCCATGTGGGGCAGTGATGGCTCCCATGTGGGGCAGTGATGGCTCCCATGTGCGGCAGTGATGGCTCCCATGTGGGGCAGTGATGGCTCCCATGTGGGGCAGTGATGGCTCCCATGTGGGGCAGTGATGGCTCCCATGTGGGGCAGTGATGGCTCCCATGTGGGGCAGTGATGGCTCCCATGTGGGGCAGTGATGGCTCCCATGTGGGGCAGTGATGGCTCCCATGTGCGGCAGTGATGGCTCCCATGTGCGGCAGTGATGGCTCCCATGTGGGGCAGTGATGGCTCCCATGTGCGGCAGTGATGGCTCCCATGTGGGGCAGTGATGGCTCCCATGTGGGGCAGTGATGGCTCCCATGTGCGGCAGTGATGGCTCCCATGTGCGGCAGTGATGGCTCCCATGTGCGGCAGTGATGGCTCCCATGTGCGGCAGTGATGGCTCCCATGTGCGGCAGTGATGGCTCCCATGTGGGGCAGTGATGGCTCCCATGTGCGGCAGTGATGGCTCCCATGTGGGGCAGTGATGGCTCCCATGTGCGGCAGTGATGGCTCCCATGTGGGGCAGTGATGGCTCCCATGTGCGGCAGTGATGGCTCCCATGTGGGGCAGTGATGGCTCCCATGTGGGGCAGTGATGGCTCCCATGTGCGGCAGTGATGGCTCCCATGTGGGGCAGTGATGGCTCCCATGTGGGGCAGTGATGGCTCCCATGTGGGGCAGTGATGGCTCCCATGTGGGGCAGTGATGGCTCCCATGTGGGGCAGTGATGGCTCCCATGTGGGGCAGTGATGGCTCCCATGTGGGGCAGTGATGGCTCCCATGTGGGGCAGTGATGGCTCCCATGTGGGGCAGTGATGGCTCCCATGTGGGGCAGTGATGGCTCCCATGTGGGGCAGTGATGGCTCCCATGTGGGGCAGTGATGGCTCCCATGTGGGGCAGTGATGGCTCCCATGTGCGGCAGTGATGGCTCCCATGTGCGGCAGTGATGGCTCCCATGTGGGGCAGTGATGGCTCCCATGTGGGGCAGTGATGGCTCCCATGTGGGGCAGTGATGGCTCCCATGTGCGGCAGTGATGGCTCCCATGTGGGGCAGTGATGGCTCCCATGTGGGGCAGTGATGGCTCCCATGTGGGGCAGTGATGGCTCCCATGTGGGGCAGTGATGGCTCCCATGTGGGGCAGTGATGGCTCCCATGTGGGGCAGTGATGGCTCCCATGTGGGGCAGTGATGGCTCCCATGTGGGGCAGTGATGGCTCCCATGTGGGGCAGTGATGGCTCCCATGTGCGGCAGTGATGGCTCCCAT